TGTCTTCTTAAACCTGGCCGTCCTTCCGACGAACTTTAGGAGCTCTTTTATCCTGTCCATACTCTCCAGGATACCCCGCAGATCTCTTGGTGGTGACCTAGCGCCCTGTCCATGTCGAACCTCTCCTCTGCGTATGCTTGACACTCGAAGAGGAAGTGTATGACAGTCTCTGGCACTGATATCTGACCAATCCCCCAGCACGCATCACAGCGCCTGTTCGCTGTCTTCTTAATGCAGTGTAGATAGCTGTTCAGGGGGATATGCCCTGTCCGTATCTGCATCAGTAAACTTGCCTGCACCCTGGAAAGCTTGTTGCTGATTTTCCTGTACTTGTTGAAGGGGAAGTCTGGGTCCACGTGTTGAAACTTAGCGTAATGTGGCGACACCTTCCATGCCTCCAGCCACTTGACCTTCTGCTTCTCCGCGAACTCCTGTTTGACCGCCGCTGCGCTAAGCGGTAGGCATTTGTGCAGGATTGGCGGGAGCTCCTCCATTGGGCTCGACTCCCCTTGTGCTGCCGTCTTTGCCTCTTCATCAACTCTCTTGTTCCCTATCACTCCCTCATGCGCTGCCACCCACTTCAGTGCAAACTTTGCGGTGCCTGTGGGGTTGAAGTCATCAGTTCCGTCCGTCATGGCTTCTGTCAACCTCAGATACTCCATGACAAGGTATTGCCTGGAACCCGTCTTCCTCGCCCCCGTTGCTTTGATGAAGGCCTGGCTGTCAGTATAGCTGGTAATCGTCGCCTTTCCTACCTCTGGCCATCCCTGTAACATCCATGCTGCTAGAATGGACCCCACGGCCTCTCCTTCAAACGTGGTGTGTTTCTTCAGCGACCCGAGGTGATAGCGAAGGACTTTCTCTGGCTCAGCTACCCCTTTCCTGTAGAACACCGCAGCCGCTCCTGCACTCCCTTCGTACCCTGACCCATCCGTATAAATCCTGATGTCCGAACTATCCTTTCCTTCGTCCTTAATCGATTCATCCTTCGACTCCGCAATCATGGTTGTGAAAACCCTCTGGTACGTTGGCGGCCGTGGGTTGGGTCTGATCGTTTCAAATCGTCGTGGCTTGACTCTAAAGCATTCTATCAGCTTCTGTAGGGGAGTAAGGTGAGTTTTGGCCGGGGTTCTGCTGTATCTTTGGACCATGGCCTGAAGTGGATGTCCTTCAGGCAATGTCGAGACACGAATCACCGCGGAATGGCATATCCTCTCGAGTAACAAGTTCACTGGCAATACCCCAGCATGCGCATCCAGCAGATCATTCGGAGAGGTCCACAGCCCCCCCGTGATCGCCCGAGTTGCTATGCGTTGTACCTTGCCCATGGACTTCATAGCTCTCACTGACCCGCTGTTGTTGCGCTTGCCCTCCTTCTTGTGCGGAGGCACATACCACACGTCCAATGCGTAGGTCATCTTGGGAATGGCCGCCGAGATGTATAGCTGCCTCATGAGCCTGGGCCGGATACCTATGCTGGTGCAAGTCAGCCTACGGAACATCAGAATGTATGACATTGCCTTTGCCATCGCCTCGTTCTCCTGCATCTGCCATCTCAGCTGGCCATCCACATGCACTCCCAGATACTTATAGCTTTCCACCTCCTTAATGACCTTCCCCCTCAAACATAGGACTGGGTTCAGGCAATCCGTGGGCTTTCTTGCCCTTGGCTGGCAGTGCAGTATGGCGGTTTTGCTGATCTCGAAGTTGGAGTTGTGGTCGCACGCCCATTCGAACCCACCACCCTTTCTTTCCATGAAGCTCTTCAATGCCCTAGTCATACCCTTAAGCGTCTTTGCCATTGCTATCACCAGAGCGTCATCCACGTATCCAATGGCGTCCTCGTCCAGGTGTCGTAGGGCTTCCAGTAGGTCTGCATTGTATAGTATGTAGAGTAGCATTGAGATCGGGTCGCCTTGTCCAATGCCATTTGTGATGTCAATGTAGTCAGATAGAAAGTCGTCAAATTTCAGCCTGGTCTTCCGCCCCTCCAACAGGCGCTCGATGAACTTTTTACTAATCAGGAGAGTGGTCACATGACCAAACTCCAAAAGGGGTCAAAAAACCAAAGTTGTAGCCCTACACTGTAGCTTCCCGAATCTGTTTGAATTATGTTCTGAAGTGCTCCCATTGTGGAGATATGAGGTAGAGGAATTTCAAAAGCATCGTGTTTTTTTTTTTTTGTGTTTTTCTCTATGAAAACAAAACCAAATAACATGATTTCAGTATATTCAGAAAGCTAAAAGAAAGGGCTACAATTATTGTATCGTGGGAAAAATGACCAAAAAAGGAAGGTGCATCCTGTACTATAAGAATCAGATATAGACTACCAAGTTTACTGATAGACTACAAAAAAGTCGGACTTAGACTACACAGTTTACTGATACACTATAAAAGACTACAAAAGTCGAAATTAGACTACAAAGTTTACTAATACACTACAAAAGACTACAAAAGTCGAACTTAGACTACAAAAGCGTGGACTTAGACTACATAGTTAGGGTTAGAGTCAAAAGGTTATCTTGACTACAAAGTTTGTAGTGTGCGCTTTTTCATTAGTCCTATCTCAAGATGTAATTGTAAGCTCATATGGGGATATGGCTGAAGGATTCACATGACTTTACATATTGCTATTGCCACATCATCAGTTCCTCACATCATGCCCAAGTTGGCTTTCAAGCTAGAGAAGGCTATTCATGTTCATATCTACTCAATACATGGTCAACTTACAACATGACCTGTCTTCAAGACACCTCAAAGGATGAATCAGCCCATCATCCTACAGCCCTCAAAGACCTGTATCAAAGTTGACTATGTTTGGGACAGGCCAGTAGTTATCAATGTGAAAGCAGACAGTGTAAAAGGCAAACTTGGTCATGATGTCAAAAACTGGTCATGTCATGTCAATGAGCTTGCAATTATGTCTTGAGATAGGACAGTAGGTATCAATATGAAAGACATAGAATGGCCTTTGCTAATGTGAAAGACAACGTGTGCATGATGTCAAATAGTAATGCTGCAGCACTGGCAATATGATGGCAATCCTTCAACCTCATCCCCATAACATAGATAGGGCCAAGGACACCATAAACTACATGTCAACTACAAACTTTTTTAAATGAAAAAGCAGACACTACAAACTCTTCTAATAAAAAAGCGCACACTACAAACTTTTGTAGTCTCAAAAAGCGGACACTACAAACTTTTCTAATGAAAAAGCGCAACACTACAACTTTTGTAGTCTCAAAAAGCGGACACTACAAACTTTTTTAATGAAAAAGCGCAACACTACAACTTTTGTAGTCTCAAAAAGCAGACACTACAAACTTTTTTAATGAAAAAGCGCACACTACAAACTTTGTAGTCAAGATAACCTTTTGACTCTAACCCTAACTATGTAGTCTAAGTCCACGCTTTTGTAGTCTAAGTTCGACTTTTGTAGTCTTTTGTAGTGTATTAGTAAACTTTGTAGTCTAATTTCGACTTTTGTAGTCTTTTATAGTGTATCAGTAAACTGTGTAGTCTAAGTCCGACTTTTTTGTAGTCTATCAGTGAACTTGGTAGTCTATATCTGATTCTTATAGTACGGGATGCACCTTCCTTTTTTGGTCATTTTTCCCATGATACAATAATTGTAGCCCTTTCTTTTAGCTTTCAGGGTATCTATTGAAAAATCACAATGAAATGCCCAGGGCTACATTTGAAAAATCGCAATGAAATACGCCAGGTATCCATTGAAAAATCGCAATGAAATATCCAGGTATCCATTTGAAAAATTGCAATGAAATACCCAGGAATACATTTGAAAAATTGCAATGAAATACCCAGGAATACATTTGAAAAATTGCAATGAAATACCCAGGAATACATTTGAAAAATCACAATGAAATACCCAGGAATACATTTGAAAAATTGTAATGAAATACCCAGGGATACTTTTGAAAAATTGTAATGAAATACCCAGGGTATCTATTGAAAAATCGCAATGAAATGCACCAGGTATCCATTGAAATTTTGCAATGAAATATCCAGGGATACATTTGAAAAATCGCAATGAAATGCCCAGGGTATCTATTGAAAAATCGCAATGAAATGCCCAGGGATACATTTGAAAAATCACAATGAAATACCCAGGGTATCTATTGAAAAATCACAATGAAATGTGCCAGGTATCCATTGAAATTTTGCAATGAAATATCCAGGGATACATTTGAAAAATTGCAATGAAATGCCCAGGGTATCTATTGAAAAATCGCAATGAAATGCCCAGGGTATCTATTGAAAAATCACAATGAAATACCCAGGAATACATTTGAAAAATTGCAATGAAATACCCAGGGATACATTTGAAAAATCACAATGAAATGCCCAGGGTATCTATTGAAAAATCGCAATGAAATGCGCCGGGTATCCATTGAAAAATCGCAATGAAATATCCAGGTATCCATTGAAATTTTGCAATGAAATACCCAGGGATACATTTGAAAAATCACAATGAAATGCCCAGGGTATCTATTGAAAAATCGCAATGAAATACCAAAGGTATCTATTGAAAAATCGCAATGAAATATCCAGGGCTGCATTTGAAACTTCGCAGAAAATGCGCTGGGTATCTATGGAAAATTCACTATGAAATACCCAGGCCTACATTTGAAATGCCTTTCAAAAAATCCTAAGCATTATAGATATGGCCTCTAGGCTTAAGTCTAAGTTATAGAAATGACTCTCTAGGTTTAAGTCTAGGTTATAGATAAAAGTGGTAGCCACCAGTCAATCCGTAGCCTAATCGGCGAAGGTCCAGGTTGTTCAAACATGGGCAATGTCTACGGGGGGAGAACTATCAGGGGGCGTTGAGCTTTCACTCGCGGCAGGGGGGGCTATAGGAGACTCTGGGTTAGGGAAAGGCTGAGGAGGGGACTTAGCTGCTGGAGGCTTCGACTGTTGACGTGTCCGCGCTTCCCTGGTGTACGGTCGCCCACCTGGGGGCACGGGCTTGAAGCCTAGCTGTGTTTGTCTGAGCCTATCTCTCTGTGAACCTGTCTGAACTGGGTTGATCTGAATCTCTGCTGGCGACGCCCAACGAGCTTGGGGCGGATAGGATGGCGACCAAGTCCAGGATTCCTTCGCTGGGAAGAAAGGCATGTCGTTGGCCGGGTCCCTCGCATTGAGATCTTCAATCTTCCTGAGGAAAGTTGGGCAGCCGCGATACCAGCTGGTGTGGTCTTGCGACCTACACGAAGTGCAGTAAGTGACACTCAGCTGTGGGCACTTACTGGTCCAATGATCCTTTGCGCAGGTGCCGCACACGTTTACCTCCTTCTCCAAAGAGCACTCAGCCGCAACGTGGTCCCATCCCTGGCATTTGAGGCATTGAATTGGCTCCCTTTTGCTCTTCGCTACTGACACTCTCTTGTGACAGATCGTGAGTCCGTTCACTATCGCCTGATTGGCGGCGTCAGCATCCGAGAAAGTAGCAATGATGTGGGCGAAACATTGGTCCGCCCTCCTTCGCGAAGGAGGCTTGATCCACCTCAACTTTGCTAGGCCACCCTCTGGTATGTTGTTCATCTCCTCGATTTCCTTCCTGTCTTTCTCGCTGTTAGTATCCAGGTTCAGTGGTACGTAGTAGGCCACGACATTGTAAGACCTCGTCTTGAACGAGGCCTCTGCCTCTCCCAGCTCCCGTAGAAAGGACTCTGCGTTGGCCTTGGACGCCATCCATGCCACGCCTTCGTCCGTGACCATTTCGACGAGGATTCCACCATTCTGCATCTTCGTAACCGACCTGATCCTGTGTTTCTGTGCTGTCGCCCTACCAATCGCCTCCGAAAATTTGCCAACTAGAGTCGTGTTGGTACATTCCCTGAGTTTCGATTCCCTGGGTAGGTCGATTAGCGACTGTCGTTGCCTGATGTTCTCCTTTGCAGCCAGCCTAGGGTTAGCATCCAAAGGTGCTCTGGAAACCGTCCTTGACAATGCGTCTCTGTATGGGGAACTGCCTGCGCTAACCGCCTGCTGCGCCACTTTCTCAACCACCCCAGCCAGCTCCAATGTCTTCTTCTCCAGCACCACCGTCGTCTTCCCTACCTCCTCCAATACCTTCTCCTTGAGCCCCTCCATGAGCTCACCCAGATCCTTGGTCATTTCGCTGAACTGTTCGTTGGCGATATCCCTGATATCAGCTGCTATTGCTCCAGTCTCGACTTCTTGTAGCAGGTATGCGACCGTGCGTACTGCGTTGATGGCAGGACAACCGATCCCTGGTAAGGCCGCTATCTGAAAGAGGGCCACGATGAGCCCATACAGCGTGAGCGGGTCCCTGGGCGGGACCAACAGTACTTTCTCTTCGAGGTATGCCCTCCCTTTCTCCGCATTGCCGACTTCTTGATCTCCTTCATCTATCTCCACCAACCCTGCTGCCCTCGTTTTTCCTCTTTCCTGTGACTCCACTTTGGTCGTTCGGTTTTGCCGAGCGACTGTTGGTTTGACTTTTTGTGTCGAGGCTGTCTGGCTTCTGGGCTTCCCTCCAGTCCCAGACATGATCTAGACTTATTTTTAGTTGATAACGTAGATAATATAGAGCTCTTATGGATTGTATGTAGACCAGGGGCTTGAATCTCGATGAGTATCCGAAAATTTTCGGGGTCCTAGTTGGGGTGCCACGTGGTTCTGGTCCAAGGAGAGTTTCTCAGATAGGGTCTTACTGGCATAGATGTGTTTGATGGTTACTGAAAGATGAGATTAACTGAGCTCTGTGAGCATAACAATCAAAAATGTGTCCCGACAATACTGATTCATTCAGATTAACTTGCTTCGTGGGTGCTGGAATCAGGAAACATGTTTTGAATGTTCCGGAAGTAGACCTGTTGTGTCAGACCAATATGTCCTACTGACTAAGAAGTCTCATGCTTGTCCAAGGAACGTAGTGTTCTGGGTGTGTCCACCAATGTTAGAGTTTGTGACTTGATGTTGGTGTATTCCTGTGAATACAATCAGTTAGTTTCTGTACACCAAAGAGTCATAGTAGTTATGTGTAATGTAATCATAGAGTTAGTTCTGAGTATTCCTGAAAGTGTCAAGAGTCTTTGTGGTCTGTCGGTTCTGTGTGTCTTTGATCAAAGCCTTAGTGCATAGCTTCAACAGTTTGATTGGAGTTAATTGATAGTGCTAGACTTTATCAATTTACTCAAGTAAGATGCTTAGTTCTCTTAGAACACAAGTCAGATTTATTTGGGGTAAAAGTAAGGATGATCCTCCTTCTTTCCCAAGTACAATGTTTACAGAAGTTCCTAGATCTTTCAAGTACAAATATTATGGAAGTATCTAGACCTTTCCTGTCAGTGCTATGACATTCCTCCTTATTGCTTACTCAAGTGTTTCCTTGTTCAGACATGTTTGGTCAGACTTGTGATCCTAACAAGGCTTGTGATCCAAACAAAGGCCTGCGATCCAAACAAGGGCTTGTGATCCAAACAAAGCACGCAGCGTGAATATCATTTGTGTGAAGTGCTTGTGCAAGCGCGCTAAGGCACAATTCAATGGAATACAACTATTTAAGTAAATAGTGTGAGTGAGTACAACTTAGTGCTTGGAAGTCCAGTCCCAAGACTGCAAAAAGACCGCAACTGGACCGGACCAAGACTGCAAAAGACCGGACCTGCAGTCTTGGTCTTTCAGATTTGAGATCAGAAGACCGCAAAAAGACCGGTTAATGTGGACCGGTCTTGTCAGTTAAGACCTACATAATAACCCTTCAAAACGCACCTAAGATCATATTTTTAGGCCAAAAGCTGACAAAGATACATACAAAACTGTAAAATATTTCGTGAAAATAGCAGATGTACCTTAGTATTTTTGTATATACATCAATTCTCAACGTAATTTAACGTTCTTGCACTCGTTTAGAAGCTACGATGAATGACAATAAACCTACCAACTCATAATTACAAATTGTATTGCATATTTAGTTGAAAGACCGGTCTTGAACTGGTTGTAACCAGTCTGGACCAAGACTGGTCCAAAGACCGAAAAAGACTGCAGTCTTGGTCTTTTCCGGTCCTGGTCCAGTCTTTTGAGGTTTTAGGAATTGTGTGGACTGGTCTTGGTCTTGGTCTTTTCGTTTTGGGCCAAAAAAACAGACTGGACCAGACTTTCAAGCACTAGTACAACTAGATAACAACTAGTCAAGTAATACAATTGAAATGGATGATGTTGTTGAGAGTGAAAGGACAATGAAAGTAAGGTACCCTAACAGCAGGACAGTGGGGATGCTCAAGAATTTGCTCGATGGCTGCTGGATGTCGGTCATGGTCGAAATCTTATTGAAGGAAATGTGATCCAAATTCCTGACTACATGCACACAGAATCGGCTAATTCACTGATTGAGTCTATCTATCCAGCCATTGATTCCACCCCTCCACCCCCTCCTGAATACTTTCTCAATTGCACAATTCTTGTGCCTCGAAATGTTGATGTGGGTGAAATCAACCAAGAAATTTTGGATTACATGGCAGGTGATAGCTGTCAGTACATTAGTGCAGATGAGATTATCCATGAGCCAGGAGCAGATCCACAAGATGATGAACCAATTCTGATCAAATTTCTTCGCTCTGTCAACTCTTCCAGTCTTCCACCAGGTGAATTGAATCTCAAGGTTGGGTGCCCTGGCATCTTACTCTGCAATCTTTCTCTGGGTCAGGGGTGGTGCAATGGGACATGGATGGTCATCACACAGATGGGCAATCAAGTTCTGGAAGTACGACTGCTTGGAGGTGAAAGGGATGGGCAATCAGCACTCATTCCTCAAATTTCACTCATTCCAACAAGCTCATCTGAAGTTTCATTGAAGCTTAAACACCACCAATTCCCAGTTCACTTAGCTTTCACATTGTCCATAAACAAATCTCAAAGCCAATCTGTTCAACATGTTGGACTCTATCTCCACTTTCCAGTTTTTGCACATGGGCAGCTATATGTAGCTCTTTCACATGCAACATCTCCCCATAACATCAAAATTCTTCTTCCAGATGATGCTACAGAATGCCTTACCACAAACATTGTATATGATGAGGTTCTCATGGATTAGATACCAAATTTAATTGGTTCTGTTAACACAAATCTAATCCCTGAGGCCTGAGGTGTGTGAATTTACATAATTCACCCACTGAGTAAAGTCTTAAAGCTTGAGGGATTACTTTTTATTCTGAACAAGTTGACTCAGCCATGTGCAGCATGATCATGTGGATTCGTGACAGAGTCCACGTGTTCCCTCTCTGTTTGCCTACATTTTTCTTGAACTTTCAACACCTGGCCACAACAGGAAACATCCCCTCACCTCCTCATATATATAGAGAGGACATACATCCTCTGATGCTGTCACATTCTTCCCTCCAAGACTCTTCACCAAGGTACCATGCCACCATCTCAGCTCACCCCACCATCTGGATCCAGTTCAATTTCGGGGATTGCTGTTCTGGAGAATCCTTGACAGCAGAAGGACAGCCCCAAAACTTTATACTTTGATGCCCACCTTTTCTGCCCTGTCGACAGCATTGAAAATGATACAGGCATCAAAGATGAAGTTGACCAGTACAAGAAGACTAAAAAGGGTATATTGGCCTCGCTGCGCTACTTGAACAGTCAGGACCTCATCTTCAACAATGTTGATGCTTACTTCATAACTGCAAATGTCAGTCTTACCTTTCTTTATTCCCTAAAATGCATATTAACCTGCATAATAGGTTGTTAAGGTTCTTGACTCCAAGTCTGCTGCCAAAGATCTCCCAAATATTGCATTGCCAGAGTTGAGTAATGAAGATTACTCTTTGGTTGGGGACATTGTTTCCATGAGTGAGATTTTATGCATTTATTGGATATGCACAGGTATCAGCTAGTGATTGTCAAAAGTGATAAAGTAACCATCAAAGAGGTCTTCAGCCAAGCCTTCTTTACCTTGATTTGGACTCACATCAGCCCACCCATCAACATTGGGTCATTTTGTCTCATGGCCCATTAGCAGGCACCCTCAACCATGGGTCAGGGCATTCAGTGTTATTGGGTGATTCCTAATAACTGCCCTGATCAAATTGAGATGACCTCAAGTAGCCTTGGGGCACATTGGAAGGTAAATCAAGGGAATTGGGGAGGGTTCAATTCAAGTGCAGATATGAAGTATAGGAGAACACAGTATGAAATGCTTAAATGAATCAGACAAAAAAATCATCAAACAACATATCAATAAAAGGCAGAATATCAGTGAGACACAAAGTAATTGAGAGCAATGTATGGAATCACTGTAGGTAAGTAAAGTACTAGTTCCTGCAAAGTCATCATCAAGATCTTTCTATTTCTCAAACAAATGTGTTATTTTGGATTTAAAATTTGAAACACTCCTTGCAAGTTTGGATAGAAATTGGGCTGAGAATAAAAACATCAGGGGGGGTTCAAACATTAAGTACCATAATACATACCTTTTTTTTCAGGATTCATTGTAGTATCTGGAAGAACTGCTGGAACTGAATGATTCAAAACAAGTGGTGTTGAATGAAAGTTTTCTATACAAGGGGATGTGCTGGCTATATCAACAACTTGAATATCCTGGGCTTCTTGTATGTCAGCCACTGTGGTCATTGTATGAGGGTATTCTCCTTCCAGAACTCTTTTCTTTAATTCATAGACTTGGGTGTCCAATTTCTCTGCTTCTGTGTACTTTTCCAGACTTCGATATGTAGCTGCTAGATCTTCCATAGCTCTGATTGTATGTGGATGTTCCACTCCAAGAATTCTATTCCTTGCATCCAAAACTTGAATCTCCAGCATCTCTGCCTCTGTATATTTTCCCAAGTATCTATTTGTTGATGCAAGACTTGCCATAGCATAAATCGTATCTGGGTGTTCCACTCCAAGAATTCTGTTCCTTGCATCCAGAACTTTCATACACAGTTTCTCTGCCTCACTGTATTTTCCCAAGGACTGATATGTTGCTGCTAAATTTGCCATAGCTAAAATCGTATGTGGATGTTCCACTCCAAGAATTTTATTCCTTGCATCCAGAACTTTGATATCCAGTTTCTCTGCCTCTGTGTATTTTCCCAAATTTCGATATGTTGCTGCTAAATGTGACAAGGCATAAATTGTATCTGGGTGTTCCACTCCAAGAATTCTGTTTCTTGCATCCAGAACTTGCATCTCCAGCTTCTCTGCCTCACTGTATCTTCCCAATTTTTGATATGTTGCTGCTAAATTTGCCATGGCTCTAATTGTATCTGGGTTATCCACTCCAAGAATTCTGTTCCTTGCATCCAGAACTTGCACATGCAGTTTCTCTGCCTCTGTGTATTTTCCCAAGTTTCGATATGTTGTTGCTAAATTTGCCATGGCATAGATTGTATCTGGGTGATCCACTCCAAGAATTTTATTCCTTGCATCCAGAACTTTGATATCCAGTTTCTCTGCCTCTGTGTATTTTCCCAAATTTCGATATGTTGCTGCTAAATGTGCCATGGCATAAATTGTATCTGGGTGTTCCACTCCAAGAATTCTGTTCCTTGCATCCAGAACTTGCATCTCCAGCTTCTCTGCCTCTGTGTATCTTCCCAATTTTTGATTGTTGCTGCAAGATTTGCCATAGCTCTGATTATATCTGGGTGATCCACTCCAAGAATTCTGTTCCTTGCATCCAGAACTTGCACATGCAGTTTCTCTGCCTCTGTGTATTTTCCCAAGTTTCGATATGTTGTTGCTAAATTTGCCATGGCATAGATTGTATCTGGGTGATCCACTCCAAGAATTCTGTTCCTTGCATCCAGAACTTTGATATCCAGTTTCTCTGCCTCTGTATATTTTCCCAGGTCTCGAATTGTTGATGCAAGATTTTCCATAGCTCTGATTACATCTGGGTGTTCTACTCCAAGAATTTCATTTCTTGAATCCAGAACTTGCATCTCCAACTTCTCTGCCTCTGTGTATTTTCCCAATTTTTGATATGTTTCTGCTAAATTTGCCAGGGCATTGATTGTGTCTGGGTGTTCCACTCCCATGATTCTTTTCCTTGCATCCAGAACTTTGATATCCAGTTTCTCTGCCTCTGTATATTTTCCCAGGTCTCGATTTGTTGATGCAAGATTTTCCATAGCTCTGATTATATCTGGGTGTTCTACTTCAAGAATTTCATTCCTTGTATCCAGAACTTTAATCTGCAAGATTTCTGCTTCCTTTGCATATCCCTGTTCCTGCAGCAGCCTCCCAAACTTTGCATAGGCATCATCCATGTAATTCACCATATTTTGACTACCTTCTGATTTGAAATACTCCACATTTACCCTCAAATGTGTTACCAAGGCCCTCCGGAATCCATATGGCTGGCTTGTATCCCATCTTAGTGAACAAGACAAGGTAACATATGCCATTAAGCAACAATGTGTCCTCTTATCTAAAGTTAACCTGTCCCTACCCCATGCATGAACCAGTGGATGCATGGCATATATGCAATTAGATGAGCCCTTCTTGATCAAAGAGAATGACAGTAATATTCGAAGTCCCTCTCTAAAGACAAAGTTATCCCAAATACCTGATTTGCTAAGAGGCAGTAGTCTCTGGTCCAGCAAAGAACTAGCACAGGGTAATTTTGAGCTACAACTTTCTTCATCATCTGGAAGTGCAGCATAAGAAAAGATTTCTTCAGTGATCCCCTCATGATGGAAAAAAGGAAATAATTCCATAAGAAGCATTGCACTATTAGTTGCATTGGCCTTATGAAAATCATCAGATTGAGCTCTCTTCTGAATTTCTTTGTATGATAGTTCCCAAGTTCCATAGACACTTCTGTTATACTTAGAGGCTCCAGTAAATTCAGAATGGGATAATAATATTTTTCGGTGATCTGAATACTTTGCCAGGTAGTCTCCAATAGTGGTGGCTCCAGAAGCAATGTAAGCACCAGCTTGATCAATGGCAAGAGGAAGGTAAGAGAGCTCCTTCACAATATTTAAAGCTTCAGCTTGAAAATCTATTGAAAATGGGTCCAAGCAACTGGCTTTTAGAAGCAATTCAATAGAATCATCCTCTGGCATCTCAGTTACTTCCAGAGAATTCTCCAATAAAGTCAGATTCTGCATGGTGGAATTGCGACTAGTTATCAGAATATTTCCCCCCCTTCCAGGTGGAAGGTAAGCCTCCAGCTCAGCAGGTGATAGAACATCAGCATTGTCAAAGACCAATACATAGTTCTCTTTCAGCATGCCAATCCAGTGAAGAGCAGATTCAGGTGAGCCATCCAGTCCACTAGACTGGGCTGCAGGAAGGTTACAGATACCCTTGAGCCCCTGTGTGATGGTGCCAACTGAGGAAGCATCAATCCATAAAACAGAAGAGAAACTAAAGGCAATTAACATATTAGAAATGAGGGTTGGATTTGCCTCTTTGAAGACATTCACCAGTCAGACATATCCTCAACAAACTTCAAGCAAATCTGAGTCTTTCCAATACCTCCCATTCCATGCAACAGAAAGAACTTTCTCTTCTGAACAGAGTCATTTGTGTTAGTAAAAAAATGCATCCTCAGTTTTGCAATGACTTCTGCACGCCCTGTGAACCGGTTGCTTGGATTTGGCACAAGGGGAATGACCCCATTGAGTGTCATCCTATTGCCATTGTTGATGTTGTTGATATGTATCTGCACGCCATCAGCTTGTTGAGCAGATATCTGACTGTTCCACTCACCGCATCAGCTGCGTAGAATGTGCCACCGCTCACGGCAGTGCCCTGAGCACTTGGAAAAAAGTCTCCTCCGCTCATTCTGAGGGGTCGGAGATCAGCGTAAGAGTTCAGGATGAGGGAGGGAAAGAAAGAGGAGCGCTGGGATGCCAGGAGACCCCCAATCATGCCATGAGGCGAACGCGTGGGTTGGTCTATTTTTACACCCTTGCACAACATGTTGGTCACGCTGCCTGCCATTATCCTCATAAGCGCCATATCTGAGATTCGCTGAATCAAATTGTCAGCTTAACTCGCATTGTTGTGTCGTCTAAATGAGGCACATCCAAACCATAGACCATAGTGAGGGAGCTTCTTAGCGCGTTTAAACAATGGGGTCCGAATCAGCACACAATTATCTAAAATCTCTTGAAGAAATCATAGGAAATGGCCGCTCGTGATACGTACACAATCTTATTTGAGCTTCTCTTGCGTCACCAGGCCGAATTTGAAGGTTAAAGCAATGTCTACAAAATCACAACTATCACCACACTAGTCCATTCGTGGTAAGAGAATCGCCGATTTGCCTCTTTCCAACTCTCGAGCGCCGGGCCCTGCAAGTCACACAGGCTCATCCTTTGTGTGATTGACGTAGTACTGATAAGATACGCATCTACAAGACACAGGTAAACATAAGCTCTGGGTATAAAGGACCTGCAAACTCTTAGTTAACCTCAGGCCCTTCAAAACCATCCACCAGTACCCAACTGAACTCAAACCACGTATCATCATGATCTCTGTACGTCTTCAACTTGCTGGCTGGCGCTTTACCTTCTAATGAGGTTCCGTAGAACACATGTGCTCTCGTCAACGCTATTGCCGAACCCAAGCCCAAGCCCGATTCCGAAGAGACGTAAGTCCACACTCGTGAATTTTCTGCATTGACTGGTTCTGACACGTTGATTCTACGTGTAGTGGCCCAAATGATAAACCTGATAAACCTGTCAACTCTCAACCTAACACATAATCGCTTTATGGAGGAAATCTTCTTGCTCTGAAAGTGTTTTGCGTACTGGGAGTAGTATGAAATAGGCGAAGGATGAATGCTTGTACAAGTTATACGAAAACCCCATATTGTGCTCAAGTGAATTGATAACGTTTGTGTAGGTTTGTGTTAGAAACTTGATTGAAAGTCAGACGGCGAATTTGAACGGGACGTTGAACGCTGACCCTTTTCCGTCGTTAATTTAATCAGGAATCTTGAGTGTGGATGGGGCCGGGCGGCTCGTAAAGGGATCGGTGGGCGAGAAAAGGATAAAAATAGGGGCAGCGTTGTAAGCTGCCGCACCTGGTAGCTGTAGAATATGGCTACGAAGAGAGGGGCGGCGATGGGGAAGGAGGAAGAGCGGAGGAGGCATCATCAGCGTGCAGTTGCTGCAGGACGATGGGTGGCAGCGACAGTGCAGACAGGCGATGTGATCGGAATGTCTCAACCCTGGCACGTTCGTAGAGGCAAATCTGCACTAGGCTAACGTCCCATGTCGATTCGTCACTGCTGGTGACTGAATCGATTGCACATCCATTTAACGGTCGAGGACCAAGACAGAGATTGAAGATTGAATAGGACGCAGAGGACGCAACGTAAGAATATGCCTGATTCCCAACTGATGCTGTACCAGCCAGTTACATACGTGTCCAATCTTGCGGATAGTTATTTTGCATTGGGTATCAATCCTATATACACCAGTCCTTGAACCGGGCATTGTGAGCTCATATAAATCAATTAGTGCGTTTGTACGTATATCAACCCCTCCAATAATTGGGCTTGATAAACGGCATTGGGGTGACGACAGCCTTTCTTCTCTTATTCCGAACTTCAACCTCGACTTCCGTGCCCTTCTTGTGAGAGCCGGACTTGACGTATCCCATGGCGATGTTCTTCTGCAGCGAGGGAGATGGTATACCGGAAGTGACGATGCCGAGTTCCTCACCGGAAGGAGTGAAGATTTTGGCGCCCTCTGATATGTATGATTGTCAAAAGCGAAAGAGTAACCATGAACGAAGAATATTACCTCGAGCGGGAGCACCCTCTACAACCAAGCCGACACGTCTTCGTGGGGGCCCATCTTTGAGGTGTTGCCTTACACCTTCTGCGCCGATGAAGTCACCTGTCTCCTTTCTGTCCTTGCCTGTTGAAAAGGAGGTTCATCGGAGGGTGAATGGTCTTGCATGTAGGCTTACCAATGACCCAGCTTAATCCAGCTTCGATGGGGGAGGTAGTCTCGTCGAGGTCGTGGCCATAAAGACACATCCCAGCCTCAAGACGAAGACTATCGCGCGCTCCAAGTCCGGTCAGCTGTACCGGAGTTTTTGAGAGAAGTTTTGCGACTTCAACCGTTTGGGATGGCGGGATGGAGATCTGGGTCGAGGTCAGTACCAGGAGCGGGGGAAGCATGGGGGAAACATACCTCAAATCCATCCTCTCCTGTGTACCCACTACGAGCGACGTGGAGGTTAAAGCCCTCAATGGGGACGAAAGCCGACTTTCCGAAAGTGAGCAGTCGGAGATCGAAGGACGTCAAGGCTTGCAGATACGTAGCAGCTGCTGGACCTAGAATCACCCCTGTCAAACACACGACTCATCAAGTTGGGAAACACAACCCCACCTTGCAAAGCCAATAAACCCCAGTTCTCCAGAACCTCCATCTCCACCTTCCCCTCTTTCGCTTTCTCACTCGCGTTCCACTCCTCCAACTTCTTCGTAAACCAAGGTAGATCCACGTCCCGCCTCCCAGCATTCGTCACGACGTAAAAAGCGTCTGCAGCATGTTTTGTGATGATAGTGTCGTCTATGATCCCGCCATTTTCGTTCAGCAGCACGGAGAGGGTTGAGGTGTAGGGGCTTAAGGCGGTGAGCGAGGACGGGGTTAGCCATTCCAGGAATTCAGTTGCCGTTTGTCCCCGGAAACTTTCGGGAGTCAGTACGCATAGAAATATGATATAACGAAGGCATACACTTGGATTGGACCATATGCCCAACATCAAAGAGTCCCGCACTGCTCCGGACGTGGTTATGACTGGCAACTGAAAGAACGTTGAGTTTGGGAAAGGATGGGGCCCGTCTCCAATCTTACCTTAGCCGACATCCCCATACGCTAACGGCATAGAGTACCCAGCGAACGGGACCATCTTGGCCCCATTCTCGACATGAAAGTCGTAGAGCCCAGTTTTCCTCAACTGTTCAACGATGATTTCATCAGTTTCGTATGTTTCGAAGCGAGGTTTTGGACTACCTACCCCTTCTGAAGGCGTTGAGAAATTACGAGCAAGGCATCTGGGTACGTTATGGCTAGTTAAGGAGGTCCTGAGCACAGAGACGGCGCGTAAGACCGTCATCGTCGTCAGACAAACATCGACAAAAAATAAATTGACAACGTCCCATCACCGGCCACGTGATCAAACTCACACACGCGATCTGCTACACACTACTTGAGGCCCACTTCCTTGCTCACTTCTTCCAAATTTCTGATAATGACTTGAAATGCTTTTAGTAGGCAGGTGGTTCATCACTTACTCACAGAGCCTATGAATCTGGTTAAAATCCAATAGCGGCGCAAGCCTGGTTCCCGACTTTGCTTGAACACTGTCAATGAGCCAACAACCAAGTCATAAGATGGATAGACATTTTCCAGTCATCGACCTAGTTGACTGCTCGTCGCCAAACCACTTTCAGTGACTTTTAAAGCACCCGAAATTTTGTGGGAACGCCGTCACAAGAGTTGGGCAATGTTTAGGATTTACAATCTTTTGGACAAAGCCCTCTTATTGTCTAAAAGAAAAAGACAACCTCAATCTGTGCGTACGGTTGATAAATCTAACAATGGCTACCTAGCGCAATGGTAGCGCGTTTGGCTTCGATCGCTAAACGGTACCAAAAGGTTGCACCTTCGAGTCCTGCGGTGGTCATGAAATGTGATATTTGGTATGAACTTTTTCATTCCTTGTTCATATACATATCTCCTGAGGTAAAGAACGTCCTAAAAAAAAGATCGCACTCTTTACACAGTCCGTAAGCACACGATACGATTTCAGAAATCGAGTGCGAAATCAGTTGTAACGGGCGTTCAATTATTGCTGTGTATCCGCATTATTGCGCTCATCGTTGTGACCGTTTAACAGATGATCGATGATTATCGGTCATTACAAAATACATACATACGATAGCATGTATCGCCCATCTTCAAGACGTCCTCTTCTGATAACGATGCGTTCATGGATGGACCTGCCAATGGTCGGGAGGATTTTTGTTCCGCTATATCCGACAGGACTTGGCTGTGGGGCTCAATTGCGCGTCAGGCGACCAGTCAGAATCAAAAAAAAATTCGCAACTATGACAGGCGTTAGGCAACATTTGGGCAACATGAAGAAGTTGTGATGCGGCTTCACTACAACTACTATCTTAACGCTCAGCGCATTTGGAGCACTGCGTGCAAACAAAACTAACCAAATTTGTCAGGCCCGAGCAAGATCCGACCGTGATACATCTACATTTCTATGTCGACGATTGCCCACCTGGTAGTAATACGGCGAAATATGAGGGCGGAAGGAGAAGACTAAGGAAATAAAGTGAGCTTAACATGGTTGAACGTAGGCTCTCAATGTGTTTGACCAAATCCGGTTGGTTTTGTCTGTTTCTACAGCTAAGCGGTGCTATATTTTCAAAACGGGTCTACCGATATGAAGATAGCTGTAAAATTCCGCATACCCGGTCCGGATGTACAACTGACGCGATTCGGTTTCGCAGTGGCGTTTGTACCATCCACTCAAGCAGCTGCAAAACTCTTTCCAAGTCTTTCTTTACATATCTTCTACTACCTTGACCATAACCTCCCTCCACTATATTGCTTCCTTTTCTTATTAAAATACTTCGTCATCTAATTTCAAAATCAACCTTCCGACGCGAATCCAGGCAAGCTCTCAAAATTCTGTCCTATGTCGATTCGCGGTGCTTGGCGTCTCTTCCCAAACAGTCTTATTCTCCTTACTCAAAGTCGATTAGGCCACATTAAATTTCCAGCTGGGTTTTGACATACGGAAAGCTGTCCAGATGCCACTTCGCGGGAATGTTCTCGAAGCTGTATCGTTTGGGTCTTTTTTTATTAAATCGGCTCCTGGATCGTGCTGAAGATCGTTTGCAGTTCAGCGGCGTTCATCACGTTGGTGGCCTCATGACGAGCTTCTCAGCGCTGACGATGAGCAATTGTGCGGACGGTCTCCCGAGGAATAATGAGATAGTCCTTGGCAGCAAACAACTGACTAGACGTTGACTTCAAGATAAGCCTGTAAACTTTTATACAATAATTATGATCTTGCATTGAAAGCACCGATTGGGAACTGTATAGGCGTTCACTAAAATACCGCCAAATACAGAATTCACCACAGGAGTATCTCGGCACTGGAACTAAGTACCAATGGACAGTACGGACCGTAAATATGGTCGGCTGACCACAGGAAAAATGCTTCATTTCTTTCGCCAATGAGACCCGTGGAGAAGCGCAGCTTGTGCAAAAGCGATTCATGTTCTTGATTTTCGGGGAGCAAGTACACGAGAACCGTGGCAATATTAATCACGCATGCCCAAAGTCAACGAGACCCGCAGAGAAGCGCAGCGATTAATCTCCTTGACTTTTGGGGTGCAAGTACACCCGGTTGGTGGAGGACCGTGGCAATATTAAAAATGCGTGCCCTAGGTAAGTGGAAAATTGGAGCGCGCGTGAATGACAGTCTGTGAATACTAACGACAAGGCGAGGCGTCTGAGGAGAAATTATTCCCAGGATCTGATCCTAACTTTGACTCTCAAAAATACAGGTCAAAGATAATTCTTCCATTGTTCTGAAGCAGCATCTGGTACACCCGCCAATTGCAGAAAAATAGATAAAAATAAACCCAGATCGGATATCGCTGTTGCTTTGACTTCAAGTAGCTCCGACTCGGAGTAGGAGATTAGGCTTGCACCACACTTGTCACGCTCCCTGCCATTATCCTCATAAGTGCCAAATCTGAGATTCGCTGGATCAAATCGTGAGCTTGAATCGCATTGTTGTGTCGTCCAGATGAAGCACATCTAGACCATAGGTATTAGGGAGGTTCTGAGCGCGTTTCAAAATGGGACCCGAATGAGCATACAATTATCTAGAATTCTATTGAACGAATCACTGGAATTTGCGGCTTGTATTGCGTACACAATCTTATCTCAGCTTCTCTCGCTGTTACCAGGTCGAATTTGAAGGCTGAAGCACTGTTTTCAAATCAAATTACGATAAAGTGACCCATGGATAGCCCTGGTTATCTAAAACCCTTTTACCCCGCGTCGATCCATTTCGTCTGTCAACGTGGCGGCGGCAGATCCATCGTACCGCAAACGTGTTTTTGAACAACGACATCGTTAGAGGTGTTTTTTTTTGGACTCAAGTCTTTTAACTACCCATCTCGAGTAACGGGAAAAGAATTGCGCGAGGTCCCTTCAAATATCCCCTCTTTTTTATAAGCCTTCCTCAGCACTATTCAAGTTGCAGACTTTCAGGACTTGGCACCTATCCATTCGCGGTAAAAATCGCCGATTTGCTTCTTGTCAACTGCTTTTCCCTCTCGAAACCCGAGCCCTGCAAGTCACACAGACTCGTGCTTTGTGTGATTGACGTAAGTTATGACGATCAAAGAAGACATGCCTCGCTTGGTCTATGTACATATTGTCTACATAACACAGATAAACAAAAGCTCGAGCGTATAAAGGGCCTGCAAACTCTTGGTCAACCTCAGGCTCTTCAGAACCATCCGCCATTATCCAACTAAACTCAAACCACCTATCATCATGATCGCTGTACGTCTTCTTGCTCGCTGTCTCTTTACCGTCTAACGAGGTTCCGTAGAACACATGTGCCCCCGCCAACGCTGCTTGCAACGACCACACTAAATGCAAGTGCCAAGAGGGGTAAGTTCACAACCGTGAATTTTCTGCACTGACTGGGTCTGACACGTTGATTCTACGTGTACTTAGTTGTCCCTGCTCCACCTGCGGCTGCACGGAGTGTGGCCCTGGTGCCACACCTGGTGGCACAACAGAGGCTTCTTGATTTATCCAGATTTTTTTTGGTTGTGTCAAATAGGCGAAGAAGGGATGCTTGTTCAAGTTATATGAAAATTCAATATTGTGCTGGAATGAATTGATACCGTTTGCGTTAAATCTGTGTAAAAAAGTTCGCTGAAAGTCAGACTGAGCCTTTGAGACGGGTACAAATTCAACACCCGACACCCCCTGACATACACTCACGCTTGATCGACCGTGTTATATGAAAACCTTTCACCCAACACGCTTTGGGAGCACATAATAACGTGGATCCTATCCCTCTTCGCGGGCGATTGGGTTTCAATTTGTGTGAAGGTAGCGCTCCTCTTTTGGTAGCGAATCTATACTTTGCACATCCATCAAAATAAAATCTCTAAACCAAGAACTGTGAAACTGACCTCTTTGCGCTTCGCTTCCGATTTTTAAAGCGTTCTATTCCCTTATAAATTCCTTCCATAAGGTAATACTATAAAAGCACAAATTTCTGAAGTCTTGCGCGAGAATCGTAGAATGACTTTGCCCCCAAGTGATGTAACTTGGACAGGGGCTTAGCGGGGTATCAATAGAACGTATCCTATTCAGGGCAACACGCGGCATTTGCTGTAGCTGAGATATCTGTAAAAATACAGGTCGAAGAGAGAATCACACAAACAGACGTACTCCGGCTCAACAAAAGAAAAAATAGCACCGCTTGTCGTCAATTAACGGGACAGTGTGCAGGTGCCTATAACCTGGTATGTTAAGCACCAGTATCTGAGGCATCAAGTTAAGAGGAACCCCGGGCCGGATGAGACGCACACTGAAGTTCGAGCAACCCCCAAGTCTCGGTGCACGACACACCCCGGCTCTTTTGCAAATGAAAAAGCGAGCGTTGACAGCTGGTTATACCCATCCGTAATGGCGAAAGTTTCTGAAACTCAAAGAGATCTTACGCCTGGCTGAGTACCACCTACCAAGAACATATGTAGAAAGAATGGGGCTCACCGTTCCGAACTTTTTTACGGTCCACAGCTCATGAGGCAGCCAAAGGGTACATAGATGTATATTCCTTGAAGCGGCTTGAGACATAACGAAAGCATTATTCCGCTATGGGACAGAGGAAAGAGTCACATGCAATTGCACAAGGAAATTCCTTTTACCAAACGTAACAAGTAATTGAGCGTCTCGTAGGTGGTCATGAGGTTGTTAAGTTTGTTGAGCGCGTGCGTAACGACAGGCCTAATAGAAGCTCGAGGGCATTTGCGGAATCTCATCAAATGCGGCGGAGGT